TATATATATGAAATATATATATATAAAAAATATATCTATATATATATATATATATGAAATATATATATATATATAAAAATATTTTTTATTTTATTTTTATTTATTTATTTTTTTTCTTGCTACTCTACGGTGAAACCAGACGTGTTTTCCCTCTCTCCCCCCACCCGCTTCCCTGCTGCTCTCTTTTGTCCTGTGAACCCTTAAAAAGCCTCTTTTTTTTTTTTTTTCCTGCATACCTCTTAATTGGAAGGATCAGCTGGTCTCTCAACAAAATCGATCAACTTCTCCCGATAGGAGTCAGGGTAAGGAGGACACTCTGAACTCTAGAGGAAAAATTGGATTCATGATGACGACTAGAATCTACTGTTTGGGTTGGTGGAATCTGGTTGTCTGCAAATTCGTGTGGAGGTGTTGAAGCTTGACAGTGCTCGGACTGAATGTGGAGCTGTGACAGGGAATTGGAGCAGCTGTTATCAGGACTGTGATCTCCCTGGCAGCACTCATGAACAGTGGGAATAATCTGGAGAAAGCTGTGAGCTCAACTTTGGAGTAAAGGATCAATTCGGCTGTTTTGGAGTTTCCATCAGAGAATATGTACCAGCGAAACTTTAAAGGCAGAAACAACAATTCAAGAGTTCTGCCTGACCCAAACTGTGGCCTTGACACCGGACTTATCTCAACTCCTGGAATGTTTGGAAAACAACAAAGATGCTTTGACCGTTTCCTCACCCCTCCCTTCCCCAAGGCCGTGGACATGTAACAGAACCTCAACTGAGCTGAAGATGAACGTCACCTCTTATCTGGACAATGGCTGAGGGGGGGCTCTGGACTATGCTAAGACTTTCCCTTAAAAATTCAATGTTTTCACCGCCTGTATGTAAATATATAACGTCTGTTTATGTTGCTTTGCTGTGGTAGGTTTTTTTGATGCCTCAAATCGTGCCCTGTCTAGGAGACGGTGTGAGAGATCTTTTTTTTTATACTGTCTCTCCTCATGTTTTCTTTCCTTTTCTTATCTAAGCAAAATATTATTCTGAATAAGAATAAGAAGGCCGCGCTAATTATTTTAGCCGCAGCTTCGTGCACTCCGCCCATCTTCGGACGACTGTACGTACATATTCGCGTTGTATCTCGGTGCAATGCCAATAAAGTTTATTCTGATTCTGATATATATAATATATATAATATATAAATGTAAAAGTAAAGTATGTATGTAAAGGGACATCTAGTAAATTCTGCAAAAAACACATTGTTTTGTTTTTAAAAAACAGAACTTAATAAATAAGACTATTAATTTGATATTTGTAAAAATGTGTATGTCTTCCACAAAATAAGCAAACTAAGGGTTTTGCATTTGTCAGAGGTTTTTACCAATCAGAATGCTTATGTGGCATTAAAATTTGTGCAGTGACAAGGAAGAAATGATGTTTTAAAATAGGAATATGACATTTTCCAGAATGAAAGGGTTGGAGTGATTAACAAGAAGGAAGAAATAAAGGTTAATCAATTTGTTATTAGATTATAGCAACAATAAAATCCCTGCTTCAGTTCAACATAGCAGCTCTATGTTTTGTTACAACAAAAGCACAATAAATTACTCATCTTCTATTTATGTTTAAACATGAAACCTTTCCAAGAACATTAGCTGGTATTAGATGCCTTTCGTGTTAGCTACTTACTGCATTTTGCAGATTCTTTCAGCAAGAATAAACAGCAAAAACAGCGTATATTAAAGATTCCAAACTCATCTTTATAAATTTTTATTTACATCAGATTTTTTTCATTCCTTAAGGCACAACATAATTTCAGTCTTAACACATAATAAAAAAAAATCAACCACTAATAAACTCGGATATGAAGGACCTAAACAGAAACTAAACAGAATCTAGAAAACTCAAATAACTTAGAATTCACTATTCTAAAAATCATGTTCTGTTCCATCTTTTGTATTTGTTGAAACCGTCCTTGGTTAAATCTCTTTGAAAGGGAACAAGTTACTGAAATCCTACAAAACAGCGGAAATAATTCTGAAAGGATTGCATCATTTATTAAACACAGGGTTTTTTATGTTTCATTTATTTACCGTGGTATTTTTAACACAGATGAATCATTTTATCGTTGCTCATTATTTGTTCCGCTCCATTTTTACTATGGTCATCTACACGCCATTCTGTGCTTACACCTTACATGGTTTGTTTAATCTTCCCTTTTTATTTATTTCTTTTTTTTTCACCCCAGATGAAACTTCTTAATGGGCCATTTGGACCACAACTGCCTTCCAGGCTCGGTCTTTGTCAAAATCCTGCAGCGTCCCATTGGGTGTCTGCTGCTGATGGAGCTAAACACAAAGAGGAAGAAGCACAACAATAAGGAGATGACTAAAACAGTTTTAAGTGTTATTAAATGTGATGCAACTTGACTTGTATTCCTTAATAAAAAAGGGTTGAAATGAGACCTCTGCTCCTGCTTTCACCTGCCATACCTCACTGTGATAAGCTGTGGCTTGCATGCCGTCATCGCACTCTGGAGCCCTCATGCGGAGCTGACTCTTGTATGTGGCACAGTGCACCACAGTGGCTGCAGTCAGGACTGCCTGCACCAGCAGCAGCACCATCAGAATCAGCAGCAGGATGTCATAGGATTGCTGCGACACACGCAGACAAACGGAGACAAATCAGATCATTTTATCATCATTAACTTTGCCTTTTCAAAGCTCTGCTCCTTTTTTCCCCCATTGTTATCTGACTGTCAAGGCTGGATTGGTAACATTATAAAAGTTTACACATGTCATGCACTTCTGCTTCATTTAACTCACCTTGGCTGTAGGCACGTCGTAAAGGAAAATCTCAATAAAGTTGATCACGCTGCAAGAGAGGAAGCCAGAGGCTGAAAAGAGCAAGGGAGATGTCACACTGCTGATGGCAATCAACACCTCCACCTGAGAAATGCCACAGGAAAAGAAGGAGGAAAAAAAAAAAAGCAATGAGAAGAAAATAATTGAGCTAAAACAGATGTCAAAGGAATGTGTATTTTTTGCACTCACCATGCTCCATAATTTTACTTGATTAATGTATTTATACGCTGCCTCGGTACTGTTATTGTGAATGATACTAAAATGTTCCATGATCCTTACTCCATGTAATGTGACCGGTCAGTAAAGGGACAGCAATAATTTTTATTATCCTCAACGTTTGATTGATATGATATTACAGTGATGTGGCTCCAGAGTCCTTGGGAGCTGTCTGGCTTCCAGATACCTCATTGCTTCTGTCTGCAGCTGGGTTCTGGCCTGATAGGCCAGGGAGGGGCTGGAGGCTGGTGGTTGGGTGTTTTTTACAAAACTAAATTTTTTTCAGTTCAGGAAGTCAAAATGGGTCAGAACTGGAGATGTTCCGACTGATCGACCACCAGTCATGATCAGCCAATTTCCATTAAAAAGTATATGATCAGCCAATACCGATCAATGCCTTTCAGTGCTTATCACAAAAAATTATCACCTAGGGCCTTAAAGTTTTCAGTCTGTTAAAGGTTCTGGTACTGGTAGCAGGTACATTTAAATGTTTTTCATTTGACCTTTTGATTTAGTTGCTTTGTTGTGCCTGCAAGGTTTTCATATTTTTTGGTCTTGAAAAAGCAAATAAAAACATGTTTTTGTCCAAAATAATTCAATTTGATTCAAATTCAATTAAAAATATATATTTTTCACCTGGGGGGTAATTAAAAGAGGCCCATAGAGCATATACATAAAAAAATACAAAATAAAATACATTAATAGAAGAAAGTCCAATATGCATTAGAAAGGTACAACTGGGCAATGAGGTCCTTTTTGCAACTAAAGTCCTGTGGAATGGGGCGATGTACAGTATGCATGTATGTGTATGAGGGGTAGGGATGTAGGGTGTGAATGTATATGTATTAAGAGAGGGGATGTATATCTGTATGTGTATGTATGAATATTAAAAAGCAGGACTATTTGTTTAAGAGCTGGACAGCCCTGGACATAAAGATAAATTTAAGGTAATTTTATGGTCCCTATTTTCCAGATCATGTAGCAAGTAGCATTCATCTTAAAAAAATAAATAAATAAAATACAGCCAATCCATGTGATCGGTATCAGTGATGGATATCGGTGATCGGCAGCAAAAAATACCTGATAGGAGCATCCCTGGTCAGAACTTAGCTCAGACAGGTGAAGGCATCGATAAGTGTGTATTTGTAAATGCATTGATTTTCTGTGATTGCTGGCTGTCCTCCAAAGCTTTGTAATAAATCTGATGAAGTCTACACCTGGTTGTTTTGGGAATCTCTTCTTTTTTCCATGCCACAGGATAAAGAGGAGACAGACATAAAGGACTGTCAATCTAATTAATCCAACACAGGTCAGCAAATAGTTGAATGGAAAGGTAGAAAATTTCCCTTCAACTGCCAAAAATCTTAAAAACTGGCCAATATTTGAAATTTAATTTAAAAAGAAACACGCATCACATGCAAAAAACAAACATAAAAAAAAAATTTACAGTGGCATTCAAACGTTAAAATTTGTAATAATTAAACATTTTAAGTGCGGAGAGGATTTATATACCTAATGATCAATTAAGTTCACACCATGCGTTGTCATGATTATGTTATACATTTTAAAAAAGAACTGGAATGCATCAGACAAAAATCTTGGCTGCCAAAAGTTTGAGTTTTAAAACTTATTAATGCAATTGAACTCTTACGTAAGTGTGAAAAAGGGCCAGATGGTGCAACTTTAAAACTTTATACATTTCCTTACTCTACAACTTCTTCCTGAGCAGAAAGATTCTTTCAACTGTTTGTATGTCATCTTGCTCTTTTGTTGTATAATTAGGGAGTAACCCTTAATGAGAATCCTGTAGGTCCAGTTTATAAAGAAACCTTTCTGAAACAGCAAGAATGAGATCAGAAAAGGTGGTTGAAACGTTTGTAAAACTGCACACGAGCTGCAGGAAGCTTTGGCTGTGTTGGTTGTGCACTGCAGTTGTGTCACCACACCTGCACAAATATGACCTTTATAAAAAATTCATCAAAACAAAACCACTCCGCTTCCAAGACCAACATTTTATCTCGAGGAACTCATTGAGTTACAATCTAAATGAGTGTGACACATTTTGCAAATGCTTCTAATGATAGATAATTAATCTGGTGATGTTTGAAGAGAACTTTTATGCCAAAAGAAGCCAAGTTATTTCTCAAAGCGTAAATGTCCATCTGCTGAAGCTGTGGGAAGGATCAGTCAGGCTTTTGACCAGTTCTGTAGCCTGTAGCAATATCTTTCCTCTGCTTTTTGCTGTTTGGACATTGTGAAAGATGGGTGGAAATAAATAAAAACTCATAGCACTTCTAAATAAGGCCCATAAATACCATCACTTAGTGAACAAAGCATTTCCTAATGATTAGTCTGTGAAAAAAGTCTGTTTATTATTAGACAAGCCTTTTACCTGCGCTTGAACTAAGCATTACCCAAGGCTGAGTCTAACAACAACATGCCAAAATGTGTTGTTCATTTGTATCAATTCCAACTGAGACAAAAAAACTAAGTAAAATTAAACATAAAAAATAATTTCCTAACAGTGTATTTACATGTCCGCCATAACAATTCATGAATAATTCCTCATTAACAAAACATATTTTGTGACCCTTATTTAGAAGTACTGCCAAAATAAAGAATCCTGGTAATAATAAATAGATAAATAATTTTAAATTTTATCTTTTGAACCAAAAATATTCCCAAGCGAAGTTGGCTTTCAGAAAACAAAACATTGTTTTGAACTCACCAGGCATTTGTTGGGGTATTCTGACACTACATGACTGGCAATAGCACTTGGAAAACACTGTAACAAATAAAAAAAAATGAAGTTTTGGTGATCAGGTCAGTGACTTATGCCTCACAATTTATTTATCTATCTGAGTTGTCATGTGGGTTGAAGAACCTACGGCCACGAGGATCCAGAAAAATGTAACGGACAAGTAGGGACCAGGCAGCAAGGCGTCCATGTTGAGTGCTATGATGCCTCCAAATACAGCTGAGATTCCCACAATTACTTCGATTACCTGGAAGAAATATTTGTCAGTTATTCAACATTAAACTTATTGGGGGGAAATGTATTACCATGTGCAACAAACCTCAAATTTCAACTCACAGAATATGCCTTGAGGAGCCGAGTGGGGAAGATTGGAGGTTTGATCAACGCAGATCTGTGACATGATCCAGGCTTTAGGAAATTGATAGAGGTGAGGATGGAGGTAAGAACAGGAAGAAAGGTGAAAAAGCATCAGCTGAAGGAAGAAAAACAATCAATCACACGAACAAACATTCACACGCACCTTCCTGCGGCAGCAGCAGTCATCTGCAGAGCGAGCTGACAGGATGACGGTGCCGGCCATCAACACCTCCAGCAAAATCATCAGGATGAGGTTAAAGTTGATCTGAGGGCAGACAGGGCGGGGGCGTGAAAAGACACATAAATGGTAAATAAAGAAAAGAACCAGAGGAAATTCTTTCAAAGAACAAGTGAATGCTTGGTTGCTATCCTGAGTTATCACGTATGACGTAGGACAGATTTACATTGACAGCAGAGGGGTTCAAGATCAGTTTACAGCCAAACCAAACCAGGCAGGTTGTTGTCACAGCGAATGTTGACACATAGACAACCTGGAAATCTGACACCTAAAACAAGAAACCAATCATTACTAATAAAGAATTAAATAAAATTAGTTAAAACAGAAATAACATAGCTTAAATTCTGTATTTACTCACTGCAACGTGCCTTTTCTTGGCTATAGCAAAGCTAGCTATTGCTGCAGGGATGCCCTGTTGAAGAAGAGCAGCACAGCATGAGCTGCTGAAATTATTTTTACTTAGATAACGTTTGAAACTTAGACAACTGGCATTTTGCCATGAAGCTCTAATTGAAATAATGTGAAAAGGCTCATTAAGGTGAAGCGAAGGCAGGGGTGGTCACTCACAGAGCCTGCAGCACAGCGCAGGTAGTCCATGGCAACAGGAAACACATTTCCCAGGTACAGAGAGAAACCAGATGTGATGAGCAGACTCCCCTGAAGAGCATAAAGAAGCATACGTGCTGTATACATGCATTTAATAGGTAAAACTGAACAAGGTTTATTTGCACTCAATGACTCGTGCACCAGACATCCCCATCCCCGGACGAGTTGTTGACATTCAAGACCCTGACAGAGGTCAAACTCAGGTTATCCATCAGGGACATTCTTTCTTTGCTTTAAATTGGAAACACAAAGCAAGAAGTCTTGTTCCGATATTAAATATAGCATTTCATGTATTTAGATACTTTTCAGATTCAGCATTCATACTTTATATCAAGGTTCATGCTCAATAATCCAGGTTTAAAAAAAAAATCCAACAAAGTTCAGTCAGGTCATCTGGACTTTTTTATTAATTTTTTTTTTTTAGATGTTTCGTCCTTCATCCAAAGGATTTCATGAGTCCGAGGAGTCACAACAAACTGAGTCCCACAAGCAGCACACTCGCATCATAAACCAACCAGTCTAGCACATTTTAGCTTTTATCTATAATTTCTGTATGGCAAATTTTAGCTTTGAGCTAAGTTTTTTTCTAATTTGTTTTTAGCTAGTTTTAGTTTTTAGCTTTAGATTATCTCATTTTAGCTTTGTGCTATTATTTTAGTCATTTTAGCTTTTAGATGCTGATTTTAGTCACTTTACTCTTTTGCTACTGTTTTGCAAAATTTAGCTTTGTGCTATTGTTTATTTTTTCCTTCTGTTTTTAGCTTTTATATAAAGTTTAACTGATTTAGTTTTTGCTTCATATAATTTAAGTTTTTAGATACAGTTTTGGGAAATCTAGATTTTGGCTACTTTTTCCCAATTTAGTTTTGAGTTTCATTTTGCTACTTTTAGCTAATGTTTTTCTAATTTTAGTCTCTTGTTATGGTTTTACTCATTTTAGCTCTTAGCTTCTGCATTTTTAATTTTTTTGCTTTTAGCTATTGTTTGTTGATTTTGGCTTTTGTTCTGCTTGTTTTAACTTTAACTCTTCTGTCTTCAACACTTTTCAGCTGTCGTTCAGCACACAGCACTGCATTTCTGTAAAAATTGTAACCTTAGTTTTTGTGTTGTTGTCCCACTTTTTGTCCACATGTCTTCTCACCCCTATGAGGACACTGTACAGCCAGGCCCTGCAGCTGAAGCAGGGGTGTCTCAGAGGCTCTGGCTGGGACAGCTGTAGGTCACTGGCTCTCACATCCACCGTGAAGCTGTCCCGCTCAGCCCTGTCCGGCCGTCTCTCGCCTCGGCGTCCCAGCGTCCCACCCCCTCTCTCCAGAGTGGGCATGTGGCTGTAGGTGAACTCCTCTCTGGCTGACAGCTCCTCATGCTGCATTATAACAGCTGGTGGCTTCACAAGGTGAGGACAGAACAGAGTTAGTTTCTATCGTTCAGCTCCTAAATCTATATTTTATCTGCTTCACATTAAGGTTCAATTTTAGATTAGCGATGAAGCACAAGGGATTCAACAAAGTTCATTAAACTGAGCTTAAGTAAGCTAATTGTAAATACTTTGTAAATTAAACACACGCACAATCACTTAAAGCTAAATGAACAACAGGTATTTCAGCCTCCTCTTTTTTTACAGTTTTGTTTTGACACAATAATTTACACTCACCTTTAGTTGTGGGTCTCCACAGTCCTTATTCAACAGAAGAATCTGTTAAAGAAAAAAAAAAACTGTGATCAAAACACCTTAAGCAAGACAGCTTGTTTATCTCTGGAGCTCCTTCTGCACCCCATCCCTCTCCCACAAACTTTTACTCGTCCCTCGTCCCTGCTCTCCTCCTCCTTCCTTTTTTTTTTTCTCTTGCCCCCCTTTTTTTCAGAAGCAGCTCTGAAAAGTTTTTGGAGCCCTTCAAAGCGTGGACCTGAAACACATGGCTCTTGTGCTGCCAGCCTACTTTGTGCCAAAGGGAATGCACTTGTGCATAACAACAAGGGGTGGATGGAGGGGCTCGAACTGGGGGCAGAGTTAGCGGGGCAAATACCCTTTTTATCCTCCTCCTCATTTGCTGAACTACACACACACACACACACACACACACTCACCCGTGAGCACGTCAGCCCATTTAGAAAACCAAACAATGGGCCTTCAGAAGCAAGAACATGTCAACGCAGAATGTTTTCCAGTTTACAGAAATGAGAATGTCGGAAAAATCCAATCAGTCAAAAAGGGCTTTCTGTTCATCCCTTTGTGTTGCTTCCTCTGGTGTTACTTTACTTTCAGTTCACAGCTCGGTAAATTAAGACGCCCTGTGGTGCTTTAGAAAAGAGGAGGCAGAGACATTTTCATGGCTTCGTCACATGGTGTCTGGTCTGGCAGAACTAATCTGATGATTCATTTCTGTTTTCTACTAAAAATCTAAATCAAGCAAAATCTCGTTGAGCGATGACACTTTGCGTGTTAATTGTGTGTCTGCAGATGAACATGTAAGTGCACCTCAGGATGCCATTCAGTCTTTAACACGATGCAGCATTCCCAGCTCTAAGTTATTCCCGGGTAGCTGTAACCATGGTGACGCCTTAACAACTGTTGTCACAATGTCCCTCAGCTACAAATACCATTCGCCCAAAGAGACAAGCGTTTTGCAACAGTCTTTGAGGACATTAAACAGGATTTGTAAAGGCTGAAACTCAAATTAGCATGTTAATAATTTATTCCATAAATCCTAATGTCCAATAAGTAAAACGTTCTGTGCTCCTGGTGGTCATCATCACATAAAAAATTTAAATCTAGCTAGATGACTAAAAGCCTTGAGAGCTAAAATATCTGATAGAAGGCACATGATGGTGCAGTGAACCTCTGGATTACTTTAAATCAATGTGTCAGCTGCAGGAGTGGGAGAGGAATTTTTTTCAGCTGCATCTTTATTGACAGGAGCTGCGGTGCAGAGTGAACTCACGCCATCTTCACAGCGTTGCTTTGAAAAGACTACAGCAATGCCTGTTCGCTGTAAATGTACTCTTAAAATAATTAACTATCATCAGGATCGCTGCTACTTTGGAGTCACAAGTGGGTGAAACTAACAAATGAAAATAACAACATTGGTAAAAATGTCAAACTAAAACAAGCAAAAACCTAAAAAAAAATGTTCCTTTTAGTAAAGTAAGTGTTAGTTTGTGTGAAAAATTTCAAAGTATCTGCCCCCTTTTTATTTTTTTTAGCTAATATTGATTAGAAAAAAGTAAGTTTTAGAAAAACTGTATAGAACTAGTAACCCTGCTGCAAGTTTCTGACTTATTTAAATAAATCAAAGTCAAAGTTTCTTTATTTGTCATATGCATCACATATGGTACATGTGGTGGAAAGAAATTGTGTACACTGGGTCCCATAATAACGCACTGTAATGTACTAGAGTCTGTTGCTTCAGTAAAACAGTAAAAAATACAAAAAAAAAAACAAAAAAAAAACAGTAAGCTGCTGGCAACCCCACTGCCATGTTCTACAGTTACTTCTTTAAAATACAGTTCATTCATTCATTCAACCTTTATTCATACAGGTTAGTCCCGTTGAGCCTCTGGGACTCATTTACAAGAGATACCTGAGAATAATCTACTGTAATTCCATGGATTCTTTTAATGCAGCAACTTATTGCGAAATTGATAATACAACTCTTATCACCAGTTAACAGTGAAATGCTCGAAAACTTTCTTCAAGTGTTTTGCTTCTAAAATAGTTTCTTCTCAAGGTCTTTCTTGGGATGTTTTCTCACTTGTCATGTCCTAATCAGTTCTTAATCACCAAAATCTGTTCCTTGGAGTGTGAAGCTCAGTTTCCCGGGAGAGATTGAGTAAAGTTGCTGCTCCTCCACATTGAGAGGAGCCAGTTAAGTTGGTTCAGTCGTCTGGTAAAGATAACTTCTGGAGGCCGAGGTGTTCCAGGCATGTCCAACTGGGAAGAGACCCTGAGTAATAACCCAGGACACGCCGGAGACACGATGACTCTCAGCTGGCCTGGGAATGCCTTGGAGTTCTCTCAGAAGAGCTGGAAAAGAAAGAGATGTCTGGGCTTCTCAAACTGCTGCCCCCACAACCTGACTCTGGAACAAGCAGAAGAGGATGGATGGATGGATGGATGGATGGATGGATGGATGGA